ACAGCACACACACACACACACACACACACACACCTGCCCGGTGAGCCGTAGGTATGTACATGAGAAGATAGAGAACAGAAACACGTGCACCTGTCTGCAACAGGCAATCATGATGTGCTCGACCGGATTGGGAATGAGATTGCCAAGTATGCCACATCATTTTTTATATCTATTCCACAGAAGATGCTAGCGACATGTTTGAGCAATCCCCCCAGACCCCCGCCATTGGCTGATTGGAAAGGAAGAACAGAAAGGCACCCACCGATAATGATCTCAATTGATGCAATTGATACCACTGAATGAGGGAAACGAAAAGGCAGATTGCCGATTGAAAATGGCAAAACAATGCCCCTGTCCAAATGCACGAAGGCAATGGGTGTATACACCACATAGTCTGTGTACAAATAGCCGTAATATCCAGATGCATTCTGATGGCACCATTCTGGCAGTTCCAAAATTATGGGGCTATGTTTATACTTTGCCCTCTTTTCTGGAATATCCAGATACATTATGACGGGACCATTCTGGCAGTCCCAAAATTACCAGGCTATGTTTGCGCTTTGCCGACTAGATAAGGGCTAAGAGGATTTATACTTATCTTACATTTTTACGGCGACTTTGCATCTGTGACCAGCATCATCAAGCCACGCTTCTCGGACTTCACCAAAGTTTCCTTCCCCAATCTTGTCCCCAAGTTCCAATTTCTCTGGCTGAACCCAAAGTGACAAAGAAGCCAACTGCCCTGCTCCTCCTCCTGCACCTCCACTGCCACCGCCGAGGCGGACTGAAGAGCCTGAACTTCTGCAAAAAGGGGTCCGATTCCGTCAGAAGGAAGGGGCATTCAACAAAGAGACGAACGTGGATGTTAACATACCTGCGATTAGGGAAAGGACAGTCAATCCTCCTAGCAGGAGTAATCAATGCTGGTCAGGGTTCCTTCGGCCATACGGGAGGAAGCGTGAGCGTGTATCATGATGTATTCAATCTTGACTTGCCGGGGGAATAGGAACAGGACTGACGCTCCCCAGAATGGATGCGGAGCCGGGACCATAAGGACCTGTTTATCTTTCAAAAAAGAAAAAAGAAAAAAAAAGTAAACATACCTACACAAGCAGTGAGTTTCCAATGCAAGACGAAGAACAACCTCAGCGGCTCTGCCCCCCTAATCACCTTCCAGAGCGTGTGCACAAGGAGACAGTGACTTATTTTCAAGAAGAATTTCAGACTCTGTACCAACGGGCCAGTTAGAGTCCAGATGCAACCAAAACGACCAGAATAAAATCGTTCTGGATTACCTGGGTCTGGTTAGTTCAATGATGATATCCAAAGACTGTCAACCTTATTACAAAGAAAAGGAAGGAAGGATTCCGAAGGAAAAATCAAAAAAAAGAAAAAAAAATCAAACTCTGTTTTATTGTGCCATTCCTCCAGATCCCCCTGGGCCCTGTCCGCACAGGCAAACTAGATGGGCATAACCTTGTCATAATCTCGGCACGCATTGACATCACCAGATGTATACATACATGTATGGTGTGGCATAATATATATGAAACTCCGACGAAACAGTTTGTCACAGCCCCTCGTTTGTTGTCCTCTTCTCCCACTCTGCCTACCGGGCAGCTCTGTTTGACGATACATGTATCTTTGTATATATGGTTCACTACTTGCAGAAGTATCATTGGTTAGGGGACTCTGCATACTTGTAAAGGGGTTCAATCTCCTGATGAGTCGGTGAAACTCCGACATAACAGTGTCACAGGCCCCTGTGCCCTGTCATTTTCCCCCTTCCTGCAGGACCTGCTTACGGTGCACAAGGCAGTTCTCTGTGACTATATGAACATATGACATTGTATGCATGTGTGTCCATCAACTCAAAGAGCACTCTTTGCAAAATAAACGATAAAAATATACAAGACAAACATGAAGAGCATGCTGAAACTGTTCTTTTGCCTCTTTGTACGCAGTTCTTCCTTTTCCTCCCATACTGCTGCCTCTTTGTCGTCACATAGTAACAGTATATACTATATATCATCAAATAGAACTGCCCGGTAAACCGTAGGCAGAGAGGGAGAAGAGGACAACAAACGAGGTATATATGTACATATGTATAATATCTATCATCAAACAGAGCTGCCCGGTAAACCGTAGGCAGAGAGGGAGAAGAGGACAACAAATATACATACATATCTATAGATTCTATACATATATTTATACATATATATACAGCCTCCTGATGAGTCGGTGAAACTCCGACGAAACAGTTTGTCACAGCCCCTCGTTTGTTGTCCTCTTCTCCCTCTCTGCCTACGGTTTACCGGGCAGTTCTATTTGACGATATATACATATATATGACGATATATACACACACATATATTGTCACATCACTACAAACTAAAAGAGCGCACTATATAAGTATACATGTAGATATCGTATATGTATGTATATGCAATCACAGAGTATATATAGTCAAGCAGAACTGCCCGGTAAACTCTAGGCAGAGGGGGAGAAGAGACAACAAGCAAGGGGCTGTGACAGACTGTTTCATCGGAGTTTCACCGACTCATCAGGAGGCTGAATACGTACATATCCATGAAGTAAATGAGCGCAGTCTGCAAGATAAATGCAGAACAGAGCTGACAGCATGAAGCACACTGAAATTGTTCTTCTTGCCTTTTTCTGTGCAGTTCGTCCTTTTCTTCTTTCTATAATCATGGCTAATGATGGCTTCCATTTTCTTCTTGTCTTCTTCTTTCAGCTTAAGTTTCCCTTCACTGTGCCCCTCAGGGGCAAGGCTTTCCACATTGGTGCAGTTGAGCACATGGTGCCTACGCCCCCGTCTGCCCTAACAGCACTCTGTCATGCGGTAAAAGAAAGACAGTAAGGGAGACAGAGGAGAGATGGAGCAGATGCCTGGAACAAAAAGCGAAACTTGAAGTACTAAAACCTTTGGGCATAGCACAAAACTAAACTACAAGAAAGAGAGCTTTTCAAAACTTGGTTGTGGGTATATCAATCTGGCAGACTGGCACACGCTTTTTCCAAGCACAGACCTCCACCATGCAGGTATAGCCTGATACAACTTTAAGTTAATATTAGGTCTTGACGGGCAGGCACTGCCAAAAAACATCCTCCGGTCAAAACAGGCCAAAGTTATAACTGCACGCCCAACCGGGCCATAGTTCTATGTGCACGCGAAAACAGGTCAATGGTATAACTTCATGATAAAACAGGCCAATGGTATAATAACTTCATGATAAAACAGGCCAATGGTATAATAACTTCATGATAAAACAGGCCAATGGTATAATAACTTCATGATAAAACAGGCCAATGGTACAGTAACCTCATGATAAAACAGGCCAAAGGTATTAGAGCAACAGGTGGTTCACAGGGACCACCACTTTTCCACCAGGTTAAACGCCCTAGCACCGAAAAGTGCACATGAAAACAGGCCAAAGGGGTATAACTGCAAACACCAAAAACAAACCAAGGTCCTACCTGGCTCGAGGGAGGGCAACATCCAAACTTGACCTCTTTTGGGGTGCAGTCATTCTGAACCCTTGGCCTGTAAAACTACCGTCTTCTCCCCCGAATAGAACGCCCGGTCATTATAGCAGCTGTACTTGGTGCAACATTTAGTGTACACACAGCTACTGTGACAATGGCCGGGTGTTCAATTACCTACTTTACTTGGCTCTCGAGGCAGGGCAACATCCCAACTTGACCACTTTGTTTTTCTCTCTCTCTATTTTACCTCTTTTGGCTTGCAGTCATTCTAAACCCTTTGCCTGTAAAACTACCGTCTTCACCCGAATAGAACGCCCGGTCATTATACTAGCTATATTTGGGGCAACATTATATGACCGGGCATTTAATTCAGTTGAAGAAGGTAGCCTGTTTTGGCCTGCACTCATACTCTACCCTTTTCCAACTCCAAGTAAGCCAGCACAAAGCACCATGCACAGGGAACAACTCTGACGACTAATCAGCAAAAGTTTCTAAATTAAGGAAAATGCAATCAGACTCGCTCTCATTCACACTTCTCACGCATGCAAACAGGTGTGCAGCAACATGGCGACAAGCGCCCACTCAGAACTCAGAGATATGGTAACCGAGAACACAGTTCAGATTCAGGTTCACTTCGATGTCTATGGCGACTCAGCGCCCACACAACTCACTGTTCGCATACACAGGATCACCCTGGATATCCCACACGCGATACTCTGAACACATATACACACACACACTGAACTCCACTACAGCTATGGCGGCTATGGCCGCTTCTACCCTATCGTTATGGCTACACTCCTCTCTCGCCCACTTCGTCCTCGGGCTCACTGCAGACCACCTCGCACACGTCGCTTGTGGCAGCGGTTCCGCATGGCTCACGCAGGAATGAATGAATGACTGGGCGCTGCCTCTTGATTTATACTTCTGCAGCTCGTTGGTCTGGCCCTTTCCCATGCCCGAATTGCACACAGTCCCATGTGGTACTTGCTGGACTGGACAAGGACTGACTGGGGACTGGGACTGTTGACTCAGCACGGTGGACTTCCACCACTTGCCCACTTGCCTCAGCCTAAACGTGGGCAACTTCGAAAGGCCACTACTGGGACCTTCCGGAAGGCCGTAGACTTGGCCTTTCGTTACTGTAGCAGCTACGACCTTGACCCTTCGAGACAGCTACAGCTACGACTGCTAGACCTGACTGGAACTCCTACTCGACAGGTCTACAGATCAAACTCCTGCTACCTATGGACCCTACGACGGCCTACCAACTGTTACAAATACACAGGTCACGGGTTCAACTCTGAGGGTCGGAACAGATACTGTACACAGGTAAGGTGGGGACTTGGGATCGAGCCCTGGGCTCTGCATCAGCTACTGCGAACTGGTGAATACCGTTTCAAAAAGGACAAACGAAAGAAAAGGAAAAGAAAAAGAAAGTACGCAGCTGAGGGAGGACAGGAGGAAGATAGGAGAGTCTCAGATACATGAAAGAAAAAAATTCCCAAGGAGGAGGGTCAGCACCCTGCGCATGTACTAGCTGACTGGTACACACGTTTTAACTTTTAAACCACCAGTACTTTTCTAAATTTGTGCCTGCTAGTTAACAAGCCACAATTTTAGGAAACGTACAGGCCACTACAGGAGCGCCCGAATTCATCCACCGGCTAAAAAAGTTTCTACTCAATTTTTTTTCCGCGGCCGATAGCTGGGCCAAGTACTGGTGGTGTAATCAACAGTTCAGAGCTGGAATCCTGATATAGAATCAGATGGTATAGAATCAGATGCAAACAATAAGGTTAGGACTCAGGAGGTACCCCCTTAAATATTCAGAAAAGGAGGGCCACACAATAGAGAGGACAAGCACAGTGGAGAGATAAATAGGAAAGGATATTATGGGCTCTGACAGTCTGAGAGCAAACAGGGGAAAACAGCGCGAAAAGCATCAGATATGCCTGGTGCCAAGCAACGCATGAGAGCCAAGAAAAAAGAAAAAAGAAAAAAAAAAGAAACACACGACGAGAGCTCAAGGCATGGACTCTGTCACTCTGAGAGAAGCAAGGCGATCTGCACACCACCTATTGCAAATTTGCAATGCAAAGTTGCAAACATAATTTTGGAAACAGAATTTTCGCATTGTTCTCTGAATTTAAAGAAAACACGAAGGAAGCAAGGGAGTGCAAATCGCCAACTTGAAAGAGAAACATACAGGGACTCCGAGCCTGAGGATGTTAATTAAAGACAGAATCTAGGAGAGTGCTGAAAAAAAGTAGGTAAAGGAAAGGAGACAGAGGGAGGGAGGGAGGGAGGGGACCAGAGGAGAGAGGGAGAGCTGGGAGGTAGGCAGATGACTAAAGACAGAATCTAGGAGAGTGCTGAAAAAAGTAGGTAAAGGAAAGGAGACCGAGGGAAGGAGGAGGGAGGGGGCCAGGGGAGAGAGGGAGAGCTGGTAGGGAGGCAGATGACAGGAATTAAGAGAGAGACAACGTACTTCGCAAGTTCGAGCAGAGTCATATTCTTCGTTAGCGCAACCACGGATGACATTCCAATCACCGAGGTTTCGAGGTCGGTTGGGCATTGAATTGCCCCGTAGAATTTCATCTTCTCCAGGCAGTCTTCGCAGAACGTATGTCCGCATTTGGGCAAGATCCTTGGTATCCGATTCTGCTCATTGTAGGTTTGGAAACAGGAGGGACAACTCGTCGCACTCGCTGCGGCCATGTTTCACCGCCTTCTGACTCGTTTCTGCAAGTATGCCAATATTTGCCCCACAGGCCCAGATCCCCCTTTTCTTCCCAAGAAAATATGCCAGTAATTCTCTTGGAGCCGACGGGTCCCTATTCCACCCTTCAGCAAAAGTTCACCCCTTGTCTTTCGCTTCCTGTCTAGTACGCTGATGGGTCTCTGTAACTTGAATGTACGTAAAGCCCTTGTCTTTCGAATGACGCTGAAAATTTCAGATCATACTCACACCTGCAGAACTTTCCTGGATGTGGTCCTCGATGTACCTGACTGCAATAATTACGCCCAGTCCTGGATGCATCTGACCGCAATTACATCCAGAAATTAGTTGAAAAAAAAATCCCGCAGTTTGTATGCCCTCAGAGTCTGAGTGTCTAAGTTGCACAACCGCGGTGAGAAATTCAGATCATACTCACACCAGGCCAGAACTTTTCCTGGATGTCGTCCTCATGCACCTGACCTGACTGCAATTACGCCCAGTCTGGGATGCATCTGACCGCAATTACGTCCACAAAATTAGCTGAAAAAATCTCACAGTGTGTATGCCCTCGGAGTTTGAGTGTCTAAGTTGCACAACCGTGGTGAAAAATTCAGATCATACTCACACCAGAACTTTCCTGGATGTAGTCCTCCATGTACCTGACTGCAATTACGCCCACCCCTGGATGCATCTGACCACAATTACGTCCAGAAAATTAGTTGAAAAACATCTCACAGTGTGTATGCCCTCGGAGTCTGAGTGTCTAAGTTGCACAACAGTTGCTGCAGACTGCAGTGATCTGGATGCAAGCAGTTCTGAATCAGCGTTGCTGAAAGGATTTCACCTTGCCTGGACATGCACATTTCTTTCTTTTCTTTGCTTTTCATTTACCTCAGTTCGTTTTTCATCCTTTTTTTTGTCAATCTGTCTTCCTATTCTCCCACTACGATATCCTACTTTGTCAGATGCAGGAGCCTCCGGAATTACATCCCCCTAAGCTTTTCCCTGTACCAGAAAAGCCCCCACTTCTCTCTCGCCCCTCTTTCCCCTTAATCTCCTTACTCCCCGAGGACCCACCCTTCTGGTTCCAACACTCTCCTTGACAAAAGTACTGCACCAACTGTTATACTAAATATTTCAGCCTCCTGATGCGCCACACTCTCCTTGACAAAAGTGCTGCACCAACTGTTACACTAAATATTTCCGCCTCCTGATGCATCGGTGAGACTCAAAAGACACTCACTCACGAAGAAACAGTCTGTCACAAGACTCACACCCTCCTCGTTTGTTGTCTTCTTCTCCCTCTCTGCCTACGGTTCACTGTATCAGATCAGATACTAATTTAAGGTGGTAAAAAACTATACTTTAGTTGACCTTCGCCAAATGGTGCATTAAGGAGAGAAAAAAGAAAGAACAGCTGACTTGAATGCATGCAGCAAAAAATGCATTCTTTTGCGGACAAGATAGATCAGTGATGCCTACGCCTTGGTTTGGGGGGAAAGATGTCAGAGGACAGTTCGGGTATGCTGTCGTTCCAGGAGCCGTAAATTGTCGAGTTAAAAAAAAAAAAAAAAAAAAAAAAGTTGAGCAATAACTTATAAGAAACCCCGCTCAGAGTAATAACAGACTTCTATGCCCTGCTCAGCTCAGAGTCAACCCGGTCAACGAGCAGTCAACGTATAGTCAACCGATAGTTAACGAATAGTCACCATATAGTCAACGAACAGTCACCATATGGTCAACGAACAGTCAACGAACACTCAAATGAAAAGTCAAACGAAAAGTCGACGAATAGTCAACGAATAGTCAAACGAATAGTCAACGAATAGTTAAACGAATAGTCAACGAAAAATCAACGTATAGTCAACAAATAGTCAACGGATAGTCAAAGAATAGTCAAAGAATAGTCAACGAACACTCTTCCTTGCCCTCCTCAGCTCCAACACGCTTCAGATTCTGACCTGCACGTTTTGCCAGTGGATCGAAATTGACAACCCAAAAAAAAAAAAAAAGTAAATTAACTATGCAAGAAATGAAAGGGAGTCGTGAGAACAAGCCATCTTCACGAAAAACAGAAAAAGAGAATTCAAAGAAGAAATTTCTTCGTCCAACTACCTATCAAGCAATGACCAAGCAGTTGGGGGAGAGGCCCGGTCGTAGAGGCTTGGCAAACGAGGCGGGAGGGCTGAGATAGTAGGCTTCTTGACTGAGCTGCCGAACGGTATTATTACTTAGCCTGGGTCCGGGTTTGTGGATCTAGGGCAATTCCAAGTTAACTTTTAGGGGTAACAGGGCAATTCCAAGTTAACTTTTAGGGGTAACTTAGTAGGGTAACCGTTCTCGATTGGCGGCTACTAGTTAGGGTCAGTTTTCTTGTACTTCAGTGGCTGTGCATATGTTTGGCAAATGCTTGTCTCAGCCGAAGCCAGGTAATGGCCCTGGTATCTGATGATGTTTGTTCATTCATGAGGGACGCTGGGCCCTGTGCCCAGCACGTGTTGCTCCCCACGAATAGATCGGAGCATTGTCCTGTTATAAAAAAAAATAATAATAAAAAAAAGCAATTAGTCGATGATTAAAAGAGAGCCAGGAGTGCCGCAAGTCCGATCAGTACACGAGTTTTCAGTTTCTTTCCTTTTTGGGAGAAACACCAGCGTTACAGATGAATGCACAAGCGACAACAATGTTTACCAAAGCTTTGGTTCCTTTCGGTTTCATGAAAAATCGTGAAAAATGGAATGGTATACCTTTCTCGGCCTTTTGGCTAAGATCAAGTGTAGCATCTGTTCTGGTCAGTTCAATATCTTTTTTTTCTTTAAAAAAAAAAAAGAAGTTGTCTTCTCCTCATCGGGGGACAGCTATCTGATCCATGGTCCATCGGGCCACATTATTATTATTATTATTTTTTTTAAACAAAAAAAAAGGAATGTCTAGTGGCTTCGCGATTTCAAGGAAACCACGATGACGCAGCATGTACTTTTTTTTCTTCTTTTTTTTCCATGTACAATTTTGAAGTCCACCGTACTTTTCGCTCTCGCAAATAATAATAATAATAGACTAAAGTATGCATATTCAGTCAACACAAAGACCAATCCACAATCCAGTGTGCACGCTTACTAAGTCATTTTTTGAAATGACTACTTCATTTTTTGAAATGCGCAGTGACCATGGTTTCCAACCCCTCCCTTCCCCCCCCCCCCCCCCCCACAATCCAGTGTGCACGCTTACTAAGTCATTTTTTGAAATGACTACTTCATTTTTTGAAATGCGCAGTGACCATGGTTTCCAACCCCTCCC